TCCTTCCCTTTTCCTCCCTTCCCCTCCATTTACTAATTTTTATCTAAATAAACGTTAATTTACATTATACACGTCTTGCAATAAGAGATTTTATTTACACCCATATAATACTTAAATTTCAATAGTAATTGCCCACGATCTAAGTAGTTTAATAATCATTTCAATTTGAGTTATATGATATGTGAGTAACATGGGATAAGGATGAGAGATAAGAGATGAGAGATAAGAGATGAGAGATAAGAGATAAAAAATAAGAAATGATTATCTCTTATTGTGAGAGAAAAAAAAAAATCAATAGTAATTGGATCACCAGTTTAGTAGAAGAATATGGTGCCTAATCCTAACAATTGGGAGCTATTGTTGGCTGAAGAGAAGAATCCCTAACAGAATACAAACCCTAGCATCTTTTTATTCTACTCGAAAGAACTCTTCTGATAAATTCCAAGCAGATCCGAATCCGGACGCCATGGCGTCAGAAGATAAACAGATCCATGTCATGTTCTTGCCTTACATGGCTCCAGGCCACATGATGCCGATGGTTGACATAGGCAGACTATTTGCCATGTCCGGGTTGAAAGTCACCATAATTCTCACCGCCACAAACGCCCGCCGATTTCAGAGTACAATCGATCGGACATTCAACTCCGGCCATCAGATTTCACTCGAAATCATCCATTTCCCTTCTGCCGAGGTTGGTCTTCCGGAAGGCTGCGAAAATATAACTTCCGCGGAAACCCAGGAGATGACCATGAAGCTTTTCCACGGCGTGGATATACTGCAGGCCGAAATCACAAGGCTCTTCCGTGAACGCCGCCCCAGCTGCATTGTCTCCGATTCTCTCTTCCCCTGGACGACCGATGTGGCTAAGGAATTGGGCATACCAAGGCTTGCCTTCAATGGAAGTGGGTTCTTCTCTGTTTGCATCGCTGATAGCCTTAACCGTTATGAGCCTCACAAGAGCATTACGTCGGAGACAGAACCGTTCGTGGTTCCGGGATTTCCCGACCAAGTAATGCTCACGAGATCGCAATTGCCTGATATTGTTAAAACAACGACTGGGTTTTCTGAGATGTTTGATAAGATCAGGGAGGCAGAGATGAAGAGCTTCGGTTTTTTGATCAACAGTTTTTATGAATTAGAACCGGCTTATGTGGATTATTTAAGAAATGTGGTCGGAATGCAGGCATGGCACGTAGGTCCGGTATCTCTCTTGAACGGAGACACCGATGATAAAGCAGATAGAGGAGACAAAGCTTCTGTCAGTAGACATGCCTGTCTGAATTGGCTCGGCGGAAAGGACCCGAGCTCTGTTCTCTACATCTGTTTCGGAAGTCTGGTCAGATTCACCAAAACTCAAATTACAGAGATTGCTTCTGCACTTGAAGAGTCCGGCCACCTCTTCATCTGGGTGGTCGGGAAAGTCCTGAAAACCGATGGTAATGATCAGGAAGATCAGGGGGAAGAGTTGTGGCTTCCGGTAGGATTTGAGGAGAGAATCAAAGAAAGTGGACAGGGATTGATTATAAGGGGATGGGCGCCGCAAGTGTTGATATTGGAGCATCCGGCCATGGGTAGTTTCATGACGCATTGTGGATGGAACTCCCTCCTTGAAGGAGTCACTGCTGGCGTACCAATGATCACATGGCCGATTTTTGCAGAGCAATTCTATAATGAGAAGCTGGTGACTCAAGTGCAGAAATTTGGAGTATCAGTGGGAAACGAGGTTTGGAAGATATGGGCAACACAAGAATCCCCTTTGATAAACAGAGACGGGATCAGCAGGGCTATCAAGGCAGTCATGGGCAACTCAGATGAAGCTGTAGAGAAGAGAAAACGAGCAAGGAGACTGGGAGAATTGGCAAAAAATGCTATTCACGAGGGCGCCTCATCTTACAATGACTTGAAATCTCTGATTGAAGCCATTAGATCCTATAAATCATGAGAATTCCAACATTTTTTCTGATTAAGATGTTTCCGTTTCAATCATTGTTAGAGCAATTCTCCATGCCAAGACAGCAGAGTTCAACATGGAACCATGAACAATAGACAGATTGCATTGAAGAAATACCTGTCATTCACAGACCTTGTTCTGACCCATCAAAGGTCACAGACAACACCCTATATATGAAGTCAGTGACTCTGTGGGAAATGATAGGCATTCACGGGTGTCTGAAGCAGGGGAATTGCGAAGAAATCAAAATCCAGGTTTTTACTAGTTATCTTGATTAGAATGTGAGTAATGCCATACATTATCTGTGCAGGAAGAATTACCAAATAAAAAACTGGATTTGCTTCATATTGAATCCAACTAGCAAAAGAGAACTATCAGAATTATGATTTTTCTACTTCATCCACATAACATTATAGTGTGATACCCAGCAGCAATGATCATCAAAAGAAAAATGAAACCCATTGAGCAACACTAACCTCTCCTTTTCAACACACAGCACAATTACATTAAAACAATCATATTAAGTATTTATTACATTCGTTTATCTAGGGCATATGGTTTGCAATTGCCAGAAACAGAACATTTAGGCTTTATGAAGTATGACATAGCTAATAAATTTAACTGTCATCAAACCAGGGAAAATGAAAGATAAATCACGAGTAATAATCATCTAATAATAATAAAACCATCCTTCAAAACTAAAACTGGCAAACCAACAAGATGCAGTAAAAAGCCACTCTAGGCTACTAAATAGCCTTTGGCACAGAAAATGTTACGCAACCGATCAGTTAACAATATGTAGTAAAACTCAGGTGTTTCACTAGACAGGGGGTGGATATTGCTTGGCCTGCTGTCGCACCCTTCGTCTATACTCTTCAGGATCCTGCAATATCAAGTATTTGCAAGGAAATAAAAGTCTTCTCTCCAAGAAAAAGATAGAGAATTAAACTTTAGTTTTTAAGAGGGATGGTACAAATACCGTAACAAAGAGCTGATAGCCATCAGTTTGGGCAGGATCATTGGCGTTTGGTTGATCCAGCAGATCCTGAATACCCACCAATATTTGCTTCACAGTAATGGCAGGTCTCCAACCCTTGGTGATAAAGTCAAAATGAAAAGGCTTTAGCATTCCCTCTAAATCCATGAGATAGTGCCCAAAAGCAATATGCAAAGGAGGCAAACCTAGGCACTTACGTAGTCCTCATTGAGGATGGACAGACATACAGTTCCTGACGGATAGACATTAGGATGAAAGAAACCCTGTGGAAACTTGCACTTGGGGGGTTTGCTAGGGTAATCTTCACTGAAGTTCAGTGTAAGAGGATAGTATCCACCCTCCCAATCAGTCTGCAAAATTGGGAAAGGCAGATAAGTTTAAGCAAAGCATTTAAATGATTGTTGTCCAAATGATACATACATCAAGCCACATCATTTCATAAGGGCAAAAGAAAAGGCACATCATTTTTTTTCTTTGGGTGATAATCATGGACAAATCATAAAACTTTCTTCTCCAGATCATTTTACCATACAATGCATTGCATTGTCAGAGGAAAAGAAGGCAGGGAAAGACCCAAGTAATTAACAGAAAACATTTGATACAAAAATCTGAAAGCTCTAATCATCCTGTGCTCAACAAAAGAATTTGCACACTGCCAGAGTGCCAGGCAAACATGTTCAAGCAAATTTGAGCGTGAAAAGAAACATTTTCTTAATTAAATTATTCACAAGACTTTTCAAATTAATAAGTATTTCTCCAAATATCTGGTTATGCAAATTATGATCAACGCGTCAATATGAATCCTAAACACTGAATTTAGCAAACATACAAAGGGCCCAACTCTCCATTGGTCCAAATTCATATGCAAGTTACTTAAACATAATTGTAGAGGAGTGAATGAGAAAGAAAGAGAATCAACAGTGGTTCAAACGATCATTTATTTTATTCCAGTAATATAAGAGCAAACCTGTCAGTAGTCAGGACAACACCATTACAACAACATAAAAGAGGGAACAACAGAACTGTGAAGTTAAAGTAGATACCCAATGCGAACCATTTTTGTAGGAGGACATGAACCCAGAGTGCAAGGATAACATGGTTAATTCACAAGAATGAACATTTCATCTAAAAAATTTGCCAAACGATTTGATAAGACACTAAATTACAAGAATCAAAACCTTCAACAGATTCCCACACCGTACCAATTATTTTGAAGGTCACTTAAGTAGCAATCAAAAGCAAAACCCATTACCAAAATTAAAGTCCCAAGCGCTAATCCTCACTTTCCCAATTCGCTAACCCTAAAATTTTCAATTTTTATGATCCAGGTATTAAGAAAATAACTTCTTCCTCCTGAAAATCTAAAAACTAACCTTTGCTTTGCCTGGGATGATACAGTGCCAAACCATCAAATTCACGGTCCCATCTGGAGCAGTCTCAGGCTTAGCCACAAAACCCTTAAATTTGAAAACCAAAAAGCACAAAAGCAAGCAACTTTCAGTGCATAAGAGTGAAGAGACCCACAGAGAACAGGGGTAGAAGCGAAAGAAGAGAGGTATCAGGAAATGAACATACGTGGGGATGATTCTTTCGCCAGGCTTTCCGCTCCTCCGTGAGACGGCCACGCGCGATGCCACCCGACATGATGTTGAGCGCTGTTGAATCTCTGCAAAGTCGACTCAAATTGGGTTGGGTCTCTGGGTTTTGATTTTTCTAATACAGGAGTGTTAAAATTTCACGCAACTCGTGAACTTCCTCAAGAAGTTTGGTATATAGG